GAATTACACATTCAAGCTCAAGATTTTCTTTCCTTTTTTCTCTTTTTAGACCAGAATATATTTATTGAGTGAAAGAAAGCTTTTGTCTGAGAGAAGGACAGAAGGTGGACCTGCGTGGGTTGCCCCAAGATTTTCTTCTTCTTTTCTTTTTGTGGAACCACAGATAGAACTCAGGATCCTGTGTTTTCCAGGCAGACGCTTATGCCGCTGAGCTATCTCCCTGGCCCACTTGCATATTTTTAAAAGCATGTACTGTTTTTATAAAAAATACATTCATGTGTCAGTCAGGCCGAGACCACTTTTTCAGCTAACACCTGGCCCAGCCAGCATCTGGGGTCAATGGCGGCTGCAGAGGGCTGCCCTGTTCAGAGTGCTGAGCACGTACCCCTTCCAGCAGTGGCATGTGCTCGCCCTGTCAGACCTCACTTAAATCGCGCCCTGTGGAAGGCACCATCCCCAACTGTGCTGGGACCTAACTCAAAAATGGAGGCTTGTGGTATGGTGGGATGTGACCTGACCCTCTGCCCTGGTAGGGCCCAAAGCTCCCGGGCAGTGCCCCGGGGCCTTCTCTCACCTTCACGTGGTCTTTATTGAGGACCAGTGTCATGATGCCATTGGCGCACGTGGGCCGGATCATGGACAGGAGCAGGTGCGGGCTGCAGTTCTCCTTGGGCGGGGTGGTGGGGCCGGGTGCCGGCGTGGTCGGTAGCCCACCGCCTGTGGGACAGTCAGTCACTGAGTGCCCACAGTGCTGGGCACCATGCTCTGGGGAGGCTGGCTGTGCACTGTTCCCGCTGCACACAGGGCAGGGAAGCTCAGGCTGGCTGATGACGCTTGCCCAAGCTCCCCGGATTGTGTGACAAGTGTGGGGTGCGATGGGAGTTGGCAGAAGGGCTGGGACTCACCGCAGCTGGCCCGCAGGGAGATGTCGCTGGCCGGAGGGAGCTCCACAAAGGACGCCACAACGCTGGCATTGAGCATCTGGGCCTTTCCCAGCAAGCCTTGCGGGGTCTCCGGGAGCACAGAGCCTGGAATGTGCTTGTCAGGGAAGATCTTAAAGGAGTATCCTCCAGGGGCCTAAAGGCAGGAAGGCAGAGCAGGGGTCTCAGACACGTTCCCCCCACCTACCCACCTGCTCCTCATCTCCGGGCTCCTGATTGTCCTTCCACTGCGCAGGAGTTGCCTCTCCCAGAGTTGGCCTTGACACACAGAGCTGGGTTTAGAGGACTCCCTGTTGGACCAGGGAAGCCTTCCTGGAAGAGGTGGCCTCAGGAAGGACAGGTGATTGACAGAGAACACTGGGGACAGAAGGTCCATGCGGCCTAAAGGTTCATTCGATCAGGGGTGCTGGAGCCGGCACCTCATGTGATGGCGGACACTGGGAGTTCAGGCTGTTGGTCGGTGCCACTCACCCAGACCTGCACATTGTGGTTGGCATCGATGACCCAGGACACATAGGGTGAGGTCTGCAGAATGAGCACAGCATCGGGCGCCCCCACCATGCAGCTCAGCTCCACCTTCAAGGTCACTGTCTGCGGCCTGTGATGCGACAGGTAGCCGGGTCAGTGCGGGTGGGAACGCAGGCTCAAACGGACCCGATGGGGACAGGCGGGGCGGAGGAGGTGGCCTGCACAGGGTGGGCAGCTGCTGTGCGCTTACCTAGCCAGGAGTAGTCTATGGCCACCCACAAGGGTCCCCATCCAGGGGTATAGCACGAGTGGGTGGGGCTGGGTAGCAGTGAAAGGTGGGGTGGAGCCTGAGAGGGGCGGGGCACCCTTACTCATTGTTGGGACCAGGCTGGACCCGCAGAATGTGTGCCTCTTTGTGGCCGGCTACGCCTTCTAAGCGGCAGCTCCGGACCAAGGCGGGGGCCCGTGGCCGCCATTCAAGCGTGCGGCCCATGTCTTGCTGGGCTTCTGGTAGGCAGAAGGACGGTGACTTCGAGGCTGTGGAGATAAGCGCATCTCAGTGCCCTCCCGGAGCAGCCTGGCACTAACCCAAGAGCCCTTGCCTCACCAACAGACAGAGGCAGCCATGGGGGGCACACAGGACGACCACTGAGATGGGGGCGTCAAGGACCTGCCGAGGGTCCCTGCATCAGTCCCTGGGCCTCTGTTTCCTCCTGCTTCAGCACAGGGTTAACAAAACCCGGCCACCCCCTGAAGCTTCCTCCTGCTGGATCTCTTACAGCACACACCAAGACCTTAAACGACAGCACTGAGCCTAATGCATCCCCATGCCAGCCCCAGGAGGACAGAGTCTGAGTCAGTCCCCACAGAACCCCCAGGGCCTTGCGTAGGGCCTGGCACATAGCACTTGCACCATAACTAATAGAAAAGTGGTGAAATTTGTTAAGTAAGTCATCTGGCATTTCACAAGGTTTGGCTGAAGTTCGGGGAAACGGATGCTACGTGCGACAGGCAAATCACACCCCACCACAGCCCCGAGTGCCCAAGTGTGAGGACTGGGGCAGAGGACTTAGAGAGAGGCCACGGGGGAAGCCAACCTTGGCCCAGGCGGAGGAGGATGCTGCCGGGGTCGTCCAGCGAGGCCACTGAGGCAATGGGGCCCTTGGTCATTGCCCAGTCGAGGATCTTGGTCTTGGTGGTAAACGGTGGCAGCTGAGTGACATTGACTTCTGGGGACTCTTGAAAGATGACCAGGCTGGTGTTCTGGGGAGACACAGGGAGGCTCAGGGTGCTGCTCCCTGGCTGAATCCCCTCTGTTCAGGAGCCAGGAAGGCCACAATTGCCACCGCCTGTCCGCAGTGTCTCGCTCCTCCCTACCCAGGAACTGTAAGGGGCACATCCTTGTCTGACCACTGTCCCAGTATCACCCTGCTGTCGTTTTGGTCACTCAGCCCATGTTAGGACACCCCATGGCTGCCATCTCACTCCTCAGAAACCACCCTGGCCCGAGTTCTCTGAAGCAACGGAAGGCAGAGGGTGTAGGTTACATAAGAACAGAGAAGGAAGACAGGCCTCTGGCTGCACGCGGATGGGGCATCTGGGTGGTTCAAGATTTGCCATCCTTGCCCTGCCTCAGGAGAAGCTTCCAGACTGGGAGAAAAAAAAAAAAAAAAAATCAAGGCAGGCTTCCTGGGGGAGGTGCTGTGGTGAAGGGACCCCAAGGAAGCCTGTGGGGCCAGGAACTTGAGTTGCTTTGTTCTGTGACTAAAGCTGTGGGCACTGAGCTGAGCTGGTGGTGGCAGCAGCCACAGAGAGGCTTCAGGCTGGCTATGAAGGAGGGCTGACGGATGGTGACAGTAGGTGAGACACCAGGGCACAGTCCCTGAGAATGGAATGCGCCAGTCTGGAGGAATTCACAAGGGGATGAAGGAAGGGCCCCTCGGTGAGGAGCGCGCCCCCTGGTGGTTTAAAAAACGGGGAGGTCTTCAGCAACGTGAGGCCCGGCAGGGATGAAAAGACTGGACATTGCCAGTCACCTGCCTGGCACAGGGTCTGACACCAAGGCCCATGCGGTGCTTCTGTCTGTCACCTAGCCTAGCCCCAAGCCTTCAGCTGCAGACCTTTGGGTCATTCTGGATCACAGCTCACAGGCAGTGGGGGGAGTTACCCAAGGCCGTTCTCCCTGGGAGCCTCAATTTCCCCTTCCGGGGCAAGGTGTGGCCTGCTTGGGTCCCACCTCCTGCCACACTCCCATCCTATCCTTCCCCCCACCCCACTCTGTGTTCCTGTCATCTTTCCCTCCCCTGGCAGGCCCGCCCTCTCTGTCTCCCACCCCATAAAAGGCTGCTGCTCCTCATGCCCCACTATCATCACCACCAGGCCAGCAGCCTCTTCCATCCCTGCCATGGGAAAAATCAAATCCCACAGCCCTCCTCTCTAATTCATGTGTTTGACAAGCTTGACAGGATTTTTTTTTTTTCCTTTTCTATCTTTATTTTTTGTCTTTTTGAGACAAGGTTTCACTATACAGTTGAGGCTGGCCTTGAGTTCACTTTGTAGCCCAGGCTGGATAGGAGGTGCAGCAATCCTCCTGCCTCAGCCCCCTGAGTGCTGGGAGACAGGTGTGCAGCCACCCCCTGGCCTCAGGTTTGAGAGAGTTTTAAGAACAAAGTATCTCTAACGTGGGCTATGTCAATTACAAGTCTTACAAATTGAGCAAAGGGTAAAAAACAAGCTGGATATTCCTGCAAATTCCACTTCCTAGCCCTAACCACTGTTAACATTCCCTTAAGGCTCCTGGCCAGGTATGCTAGCACAGCCCCCAGCACTCAGGAGGCTGAGGCAGGAGGATTGTCAAGAGTTCAGGGTCATAGTGAGACCCTGTCCCAAAAGCAAAGAACTAAAAGACTCATGAATTTTCAAATGGATGTCTTAGAGCTTGTTCAGAGGCAATGAACAAGGCAAACTGCAGCTTGAGAAGGATCCGGTCTGGCCCGGTTGTTCATCAGCCTCATGCTCCTCCTGCTCCTGCTGTCGCCTGGGTTTCATTTGTCAGAGCTCAAGGGGTCACCAGGCAGGATCTTGGTGACAAATGTCAGGATGAAAACCAGCCAGGCCACTGGGATGGAGACCCTGGCCTGCGGAGACTGACTGCGGCCGTGGACTCCACGGGGGGCCGGGGCCTCTGGAGGCAGCACTCACGTAGGCTAGGTGGAGTGGGATTCCGGGCGCCCGCAGCTGCAGGAGGATGTTCGTGTTCGTGATGAGGACCAGAAGCACCTCTTGAGGGTGGGTGCCATTTAGCTCGGACGCCTGGAGGGTCAGCTCCAGCTGTGACACGGCCTGGGGTGGGACAAGGAGACATACTCAGCTCAGACCAGTGAGACTCACCCAGGCGTGGTAGGCCAGAGAGCAAGGTGCCTTGTGGGCTGTCACCCACGCCTCCTTCAGCCTGCACAGCCAGGTCACTGAGGATGACTAGTGCCGGGAGCAGCGCCTGACCTTCCAGATGTGCCTGGAAAACACAGGCTGAAGGAATGGAGAGAATAGTCCTGGTAAGCCCCAGAAGAAATTGGGGTGGGTCTGAATGTCATGCAATAATCGGTCAAAATTTATCATTTCTGCAGATGTGTGTGTGTGTGTGTGTGTGTGTGTGTGTGTGTGTTGGTGTGTTGAGGGGCTTACTGGCTTGGGCTATGCAGTGAGTTTAAGTCCAGCCTAAAACACATAGCCAGCACCTGTGTCAAAAAATCTGTTGCAGTTTGGGGCTGGGGAGGTGGCTCGGTGGACTAAGCGCTTCCCTGGCAAGCGCAAGGGTCTGAGTTCAATCCCGGTTCCGCAAAAAAAAAAAAAAAAAAAAAGAAAGAAAGAAATCTGTTGCAGTTTACAATATTCCCCTTTAGTACGTTCAGGGCACTAAAATGCTGGCATCTTTGTTGGTATTGCTATTGTTTTCATGGAAGCACGTGAAGTTGAACTCATTTATTTTGGAACGTACCCACTCTATTCAAAATTAGTTTTTTTCTTCTACTGCTAGGGATTAAACCCAGGGCCTCGTGCATGCTAAGCCCATGCCGGACCATTGAGCTACACTGTCAGCCTGCATTCCTAACTGTAAGTGATAAAGGCGGCATGTACTTGGAATGTTCCCTGCCACCGCTAGGACTTGCAGGGAAGTGTGGTGCCAACTCACAGGGACAAAGACAAGGGGGGAGGCCAGGTGTGGGGTGTACGGCTGGAACACAGCTTGAGAGGCTGAGGTAGGAGGTTCGCCTCGAGTTTGAGGTCAGCCCAGGCTGCATAAAGGATGCAAGGCCAGCCTGCGCCACACAGCGGGACCCTGGCTGGGGTGGCAGGGGCGGGGGCGGGGGACGGGGACAACAACTAGCAAGCTTCCCTGAGACGGTCGGTCGCCAGGAGCAGGCCCCCGGGACCCCTCCGAGCCGTCAGAGGGAGAAGAAGCCTGCTTCGAGACAGAGACAGCAATGGAAAGTTTTTGGATTTCATTTCTAATCTCCTGGATGATGTCACAGAGCCAGAGACAGTTTACAGCCCTGGAAAAATGTGTTCAGAGACATTTCCGTGGCTCAGTGGGGACCCTGTGACTGCCGTGTATGCGAGTGCCCTCTTCAAAGCACACAAAACGAGCAAAGAATGTTACTCCATTTCTAATGTTCTATGATTTTTTTTTTCATTTTAGTGTGATCTTTTAGGTTATTGTTCATATTTTATGCTAATTTGTAGCAGAACGTTTTCAAATTGACATATGTGCACTTCAATGTTACATTTTCAAAGAATTCTGTTTCATTTCTTTCTCTTTTTTTTTTTTGGTGGAACCAGGGATTGAACTCAGGCCCTTGCGCTTGCCAGGGAAGCGCTTATTCCACTGAACCATCTCCCCGGCCTCCTGTTTCATTTATTTTTATTATTATTATTATTATTTTTTTTTACAAATACCAATAGGATTTTATTTAAAGGCAGAAACAAAGACTGTCAAAGCTGTGTAAAAACAATAAGAGCATGGTTAGAATTTCAGAAAATCAGATAAACAGTTTAAAGGAGGTGACTTTCCCCATCTCTCCTACTGATTAATTAAATACAATATTAAAAAGTTTCTATCTATAAAACACTCTTATTTTCACAGGAATGAATCATTTATTTCTTAAAAACCCCCTCCACATTCTTTTTTTTTTTCTTTTTGAGATTGGGTCTCACTATGCAGTTCAGGCTGGCCTTGAGCTCACTTTGTAGCCCAGGCTAGTCTGAAATTCAGACTATGCCTCCTACCTCGGCCTCCTGAGCGCTGGGATTACAGGCGTGCACCACCATGCCTGGGTCCTAAAACACTACACATTCTTAACACGTTAAAAATTAAATGCTGGCCCAGGGTGGTGGCTCATGCCTATAATCCCTGGACTATAGGAAGCTGAGGCAGGAAGGTTGCCAGTTTTGTGTCCAGCCTGGGCTGTTAGCAATATCTCTCAAAATAAAAAACAAAGTGGGCTGGAGATGTAGGTCAGTAAGAAGGCGCTAGGTTCAACCCAGCAGCAAAAAGAAAATTGCAAGGATGTGATACTAGGTTCTGATTTTTGAGCTTTTTTTATTCCAGTACTGGGGATGGGTTGGAACACTGCTCTACCATGGAGCTACATATCCACCCCTTTTTATTAACTTTTAAAATTTTGACACAGTGTCTCACTAAATCACCCACCCTGGACTCAAATTCTAGATCTTCCTGCCTTCATCTTTTATTTCTTTTTATTTTTTATGTATTTAGTACAGGGTCTACAGGGTCTCACCGCACAGATCAGACTTCTAGTGATCCTATTTTCAACCTCCCAAACTGTGGGATTATAGGCGTGCGCTGCCACTCCCAGTCTCAATTGCCATCTCAGCATGCCCTGGGGGCCAGGCTGACACTTTAATCCGCTGAGCTACCTGGCTGGCCCTCCTGCCTTCATCTTTAAGTAGCTGGGATTACAAATGTATACCACTGCACCCAGCTCTGTATTTTTTTTTTAAATTTCGTACAGGGTCTACAGGGTCTCACTGAACAGATCCGGACTAGTAGTGATCCTCCTGGTTACAGCCTCCCAAACACTGGGATTACAGGCGTGCACCACCACACCCAGTCTCAATCTCTGTCTCAGCATGCCTCGGAGGTGGTGGGGCCAGCATGGCAGGCCTGGGGATTGAACTCCTAGCCCCTTCGTCTGCTCAAGCAGGCGCTTTAATGCCCTGAACTATTTCAGGGGAATAAACTATTTCAGCCGGTCCTTCAGCTCTATTTTGATAAAATATGAAATATGTATGTTTTGTTCCAGGGTTATGACTATTACCTGAAACTGACCGGAACAAAAAGTGAAGCCCTCCACCCTGGTGCCATGAAGGGCCTGGGCCCAGGACCTCTCCCAGCTTCACTGAGAACTGACCCAGCCTGCTCACCTTACCCAAAAATCTTATTAGGGCTGAGGACATAGTTCAGTGCCTGCCTGGACAGCACAAGGTCCTGAGTTCAATTTCTGGTGTCCTCCCCCCCAAAAAGAACAGAACTCACAAACCAAGCCCGTCACTCCACTGTCACCTAGGTCCTTCCTGGACAGTTGAGGACTAGGGCTGAGGCCCAAAGAGGCAGTCACCGGCCGGGTCACACCGCAGTAACAGAACAGCCTAGAAACTCAGGGAACTGGAAGTGGGGCTCTTGGGGTGTCGTGTTCCCAGAATCCAGGGGGCTTCCCACAGCAGGCCTGTCCTTCCCCACAGCCCTGAGTCACCGGTAGCCACTCACACACATGTCCCCGGCCCTTTTCCTGCTGTCACCCAGCCCTGGGTCTCCACTTCCGGGATCCTGGGGCCACTCTGGGCGGGAGAGCGGCCAGCCCCTCGTCCCCAGCCTGGCCAGCCTGGGCCTGCCCCGTCTGCCCCTGAGCGGGTGGGCGGGCGACCGAGGTGCTATTTTTGTGCTAGCGCTGCGCAGACGCCATTGTTGGCCGGCGGTAGGTGGCGGGAAGGGGATTTCGGCGAGGAGGCCCTGAACACGAGCAGACACTTATAGAAAGCCGCTTCCAGCAATTCTTCTCAGCGCAGAGCCCGAGGCTGCCTGCGGCCCCCACCCTCCCAGGGCCAGCTTGGAGCCTGCTGTACCCCCCAGCAGACCCAGACAGTGCCTACAGGAAGGGTGGCCAAGGAAACGGGTCAGAGCCAGAAGGACCTGAGTTCAACTGTGGGCTCCGTCATTAGCCCATGACCCTAGCCGGTCACCCTTCCTCCACGGGCCTTAGTTTTTAGATCTGGAAAATGGGCTGAACAGTTCACAGACTTGTGTGTCTGCGACCCAGGTGGTTCAGGGCCCAGCAGTGTGCAGTTGGCTCTCCTTATCCATGCCTTGCAGCTCTGAAAATCACATCAAACAAGGATTGAATTTTTTTTTTAATTTTTTTTTTAAGAGGGAGGGTCTTGCTATATTATCCAGGTTGGCCCTGAACTCCTGGGCTCAAGAGATTCTTCTACCTAAGTCTCCTACATAACTGGGGCTATACAGGAATATGACAACATTCTTTGCCTGAAATAAATTTTATATATATATATTTGTTGTTGTTGTTTTGTTTTGTTTTGGAGACAGGATCTTGCTGTGTAGACCAGACTGGCCTTAAGCTCACGGTGACCCTCCTGTCTCAGCTTCCCAAGTGATACGATTACATGTGTGCCTGAAAGATGTATTTTAAAAAATTGCATCTGTACTGAACACACATAGGCTTTTTTCCTGTCATAATTTATATCATTTGCATTATATTAGGCATCATGAGTAACCTAGACATGGTTTAAAGTACAGGAAAGGATTGGGTAGGTGCTCTGTCAATGCCACACCTTTTTTATAAGGAGCTTGGAGTACTGGTGGGTTGGAGTATCTTTGAGTGTCCTTGGAGAGCTCCTGGCCCCAAGGCTCCTGGACAACAACAGCCTGCGCACCTTTCGGGAGGAGCACGAGGGTTGACAGTGGGCAGCCGTGACGGAGGCTGAGACACCACCTGTCCGTCCTGGGTCTCCATCTCCTGCCTGTGCTGGGGAACCGGGCTCAATGACCTTCTAGAACGGGGTGCCCCCCACATTCCAACTGTCTCCTGGGAGGCTCAGCGTTTGCTCTGTGGGAGTCCTGGTATCAGCCAGGTGTGCAGGGGAGCTCCCAGGGCTCCCGGAGAGAGATGCTCCTGCCACCAGCTGAGAGGCCTCTGTTCCCCCAGCCCTTTCTGCCGGGGGAAACTCGACTGTTTGCCTACCTCAGAATAGCTCAGCAGAGTAAAGTGCAGGGGCCTGCTGTGCCGGCCCCACCCCTGGGGCGGTGCGCTGAGATGGCAGTTGAGACTGGGCGGGGTGCGCATCTATAATCCCAGCTCTTGAGAGGCTGTAAACAGGCGGATCACTACGAGACCTAGTATGAGACCCTGAACACTCTGTAGACCCTTCCCTAAAATACAAACAAACAAAAAAAGAAGCGGCTTTGGAGCTCCCAAAGGGGGACAGCAGGTGGTACAGCGCTGGTCTTGGTGCTTAGGTGACCAGAGCAAAGGTGACGGACCCCTCCAAACCACACTTGGGAGCAGTGACTCCACCAACCACGTTGTGGGGGCCAAAGTACAAATGCTAACAGCCACTCCACCTGCTCCCTCCTCCCTCCCGCTACCCACTGGCCTATTCCCCACCCACCCTCCATCCAGCCCTACACAGGTCCCTGGGAGAGACAGACACAGCCCCTGCCCAGTCGATCTGCCCCTTCACCCAGGACCCTTCACCAATCCTGCTGGTCTCATCTGCAAGGTCTGGAACATGAACACAGGTGACAGCCCTGACCCCAGTTCTTCTCACCTGTCTTTTTTTCTTGAGATAATATCTCCATTGTCCAAGCTGGACTAGAGCTCAAGATCCTCCTGCCTCTGCCTCTGCCTCTGCCTCCTGACTGCTGGGACTACAGGTAAATGCCACCACATCCACTGGCCCTGCTGTGACAGTTTATAGGTCCTTGTGTGGCAGCCCAACCCAGAGGCCCAAGCTCTGCCATGCCTGCCCCTAAACAGCTGGCTTCACCACACTTCAGGTCTTGGAGAGCTCATGTTGGCCAGACAGTGCCCCCTCTAGAGGACAGGACAAGATGGGGTCCAATGCAGCCTAGGCTCAGTGCCACTGTCACACAGAACTCAGGGAGGGCTCTTGGGCACCCACAGCAGGGTCTGGAGTAGAGAAAGCTGCAGGTAGGCACATCTGTTCAGCCTCAAGAGGTCCCCACCCTGAGGCCCCACCTCTGGGAAGGTCTGGGGAGCCCAGGGCCCCTCCTGGCTCTCTCTTGGGGACCTGGCAGCCTCGCCTGCCCCTCGGCCACGTGTGTGAGTCAGTGCCAGGCCCAGCCAGCTCATCCGCTCATGCACGGGTGGGATGTCTTTGCTTGCTGTTTGCGCAGAATTGGGGTGAATCAGCCACTGTGACCCAGCTTTGCCCCGGCCTGGGGTTTGTTAGGAAGACAGCGGGTCAGCACGGTTGCCTGACGGGAACCGCTGAGACACCGGGCGGCTTCCTGTCTCCAGGGTCAGGATGTGACCCTGGCCCCCTCCCGGAATCCAGGCTCCGGCCTGGCCTTTGGGGACCCAGCAAGATACAGCCCCTGCCCAGTGGTCCCTTGCCTGCTTGGTGACCACCCCAACACACACACACACACACACACACACACACACACACACACGCTGAGCACCGCTTTCCTGGGGTTCTTGGCTGCCACCCACCCACAGGAAATCTGAGGGCTCCGGGGCCGCACGGGGGTGGGCGGGAAAGCCACTTCTCTGTGCCAGGGACTGAGGAAGGCAGCCACAAGTCGGGCGGGATGGGACGGGCTGCCCAGAGGCCCACGCCTCCTCCCGGCCACTGTCTCCAGGCCTCGCACACGCAATAGCCTCTGCCAGGAATGCCTGCCATGGCTCTCTGGCCAGACACTAAGGCCCTCTGCCCAGTGTCCCTTCCACCACATCTAGCACTTCTCCTACTGTCACCTACAGCCCCCTGCACCCCTGCCCCATGCCAACTCCACCACTGAACGCTGGGGCTGCTGCTGCCCACCTCCCTGGACTGGCAATTGCTCAAGGGCAGGGCTGCCTGTATCTTCAGCATCTCCCCAGGCAGGGTGCAGAACTGGGGAGGGCAGGGGAAGGTGGACTGCTGAGGCACAGGCTTCACAGTGACCAGAGCCAGCGTTGGCCGGGATCACGGGCGTAGCCCGTAGCACAGGAGGCTGCGAGAGCTCGCCTAGCCACTCTGCAAGTAGACGGACACCCCTTCTCAGCTACCTGCAGGGATCACTTCTGAAGCTCAAATGAAGCCAGGCATGATGGTGCACACCTGTAATCCCAGCCCTCAGGAGGCAGAGGCAGGAGAATCACAAGTTTGAAGCCAGCCTGGGCTATATAGCTAGAACCTATCTAAAAAAACAAAATAAGAAATTGAAACTCAAATGAATTGGCAGATATGCAGCTGTTCTGTGAACTGCCCCATGCAGGTATTCATGGCAAGAAATGGAACGCAGAGAGGCAGTGTAGTGGTGACAACCAGTAGGTCTCAGCAGGCCCTGCACTTGATATGTTCGCCTGTGCTGTCCATCCGGGTTCCCAGGGCCTCTGTGAAATAGGAACTATTATCGTCATCTGCATGTTTCTAGGGGAAGACCAAGGTACAGACAGGTGGCCCAAAGCCGGGTAGCCAGAAGAGCTCAGCCAAAGCCCCACTGGCAGATGGACGACTATGTGGCTTTAGAACCTGTGTGTGTGTGTGTGTGTGTGTGTGTGTGTGTGTGTGTGTGGTCACTTGCTTCTGTTTCATTCTGAGATGGAGCCTCACTGTGTTGCCCAGGCTGGCCTGGAACTCATGGGGTCAAGTGATCTTCCTATCTCAACCTACCAAGTAGCTGGGACAAGTGTGCACCACAGTGCTGGACCTGTGCTCCTAACCTCGATGACTGCACTGTCCCCAGATAAAGACCAAGCTCCCTAATAAGAGGACAGACCTTTCCCATCCCCCCTGCCCCACTTGGAGCCCCAGGACCACAGCTGTTCCCCCGGCACCTGCCTTCACGCCCCCCTCCGCCCCGCCCACCGGGGTTGTTTCCCCCAAGAGCCCTGCCCGATTCCATGGCAGTTGGAGTCCCTACCCTGTGCTCCTTGCAGACACACTGGTCTCCTGAGACCTGGCTGGCTGTCCCTACACCTGGCTCCTACCCAGACCTTCCTCTGCCCGTGGCCTGCTGCTGTTAAGTGATCAGGACTGGGAATCCCAGATCCTCCGAAGAGATACAAGGAACCCAAACCCCAGAAAAAATAAAACGAACCCACAGAGAGCAGTTATACTTTCCATATCATTACCAAATTTGCAAAAAAGTTACACTGCCTCTGACAACCACCCCAAGTGTGTCGGGTGCTATCTCTGGGTTGGAGGTTATCGAAACCCACAGTCCTCATGGCTGGCAGGGTGGTAGGGAGCAAGGACCCCACCTTGGGGGTCTGGGCACTTTCTTATCACCACACAAATGTAAGACATCTCAACAGTTTGGGGGGCAGGCTAGCCATGAGCTTACCTCAAGCCACACAGTGCTAAATCAGTATTTGCACCCAAAGGTACAAGGCCACCCATGCTGCCTGACTCTGCAGTCTGCCTGGGACAAGTGACAGATCAGTCTTGGGATGGATCTCTCTGGCTTTCAGAGACTGTCTAGTGGGGGTCACAAAAATATGATAGGGGAACACTCCAGGGGAAAGAGGGGTCCTAGGGAGAACAGGACCACTGCCCTGGGCATGGCCAACAGGAAGGCACCTCTCGTCCTATGGCCCTGGAGCTGCCCCCCGACTCAGCCTGGAACACTCACATTTGGGAAACCTGGAGCTGCCCCCCCGACTCAGCCTGGAACACTCACATTTGGGAAATTCAGGAAGAGGATGTGCGCTTCTAGGGTGGCACCTGGAGCCTGTGCCACGCAGCCCTCTGAGACCTGGCTGGTAACATACGTCACCTCAACTCTGCGGGGGTCCACAGGTTGTAGGTCACAATGGACATTTTCCGCAAGACCTGTTGGAGAAGCACAGTGGGAAAGAGGTGAGATGAAAGGCTAAAGGTGTTGCTCAGGGGCAGAAGGCAGTCACCAAGCCCATGCTAGGACCTGGGTTCCATTCTGAACAACAGGGAGAGAAAAAGCAGCCAGGTGACAAGTACTCCCGCACCCTGAATGTCTGCTAGGGACCTGGCATGGACTCAGGGCTTCACTGAGTCTTCACAGCTACCCTAAGAGGCGAGCATCATGAAGAAACAGAGGGACAAGTGACACATGATCGGAGAAGTCCCTTGCCCAAGGTCCCAGCGCTTCTAGGTCTAAGGTCAACATACACAACACAGCACACCAGTTACATTTTAGTTTCAGATTAACAATACATTATATGTGCTCTGTGAGATAGGATCTTCTCATGTATTCCAGGCTGGCCTTGAACCCACTGTGTCACCCAGGTTGGCTTCAAACTCAGCAGTCCTCCTGCCTCAGCCTCCTCCCAAGTGCTAGCTAGCATCACAGACGTGCACCACCATACCTGGCAACAATGCTTTTTTTTTTTTTTTTTTTTTCCGGAACCAGGGATTGAACTCAGGCCCTTGTGCTTGCCAGGGAAGCACTTATTCTACTGAGCCGTCTGCCCAGACCCAATAATGCATAATTTTAAAAGTATAAGTATAGGGGGCCAGGGAAACAACTCAGTAAAAAAAAGCACTTGCCTGGAAGTGCAAGGAGCTGAGTTCAATCCCCAGTTCCACCAAAAAAATAAAATAAAAATAAAAATAAATAAAAGTATACGTACATCCCAAATGGCCAGGGAGATAGCTCAGTGGCATAAGTACCTGCCTGGCAAGCGCAAGGTCCTGAGTTTGATCCCCAGTCCAAAAAAAAAAAAAAAAAGTATATCCCAAATGATGCCTGGGATATAATTTTACTACAAAAACTTTCATTGTTTATCTGTAATTCAAAGTTAACACCATGCTGTTTTTCTCTGCCACACCTGGTAACCCAAGGCTCAGCAAGGTCCACAGGCCAGTCCAACCTCAAGGAAGGCTGGAGCGGAGGTGAGGAGCCAACACTTTCCCTTCTGACCCTTGTGGTGGCCCTGGAGGAACAGTTCCCAAGAGGGTCCAACTTCCTGGCCCAGCGGACAAGGTGAGCAAAAGGGCAGCCCAGGCTGCAAGCCACTGTCCTCGGCCTAGGCCCCGGGGCCGTGGCTGGGCTGCCCGGAAACACAGGTCCTCAGGGAGAGGAATGGAATTTCACCCTGACCCTGCAGAGGAGGAAAAGGAAATGAGGCCCCTACACCTCAGCCTAAGGAATGTGCCGCGCTAAGGGGGGTGGTGGAGGAGGGAAGGAGGACAGAGAAGGGGAGACTGTTTGGAAGTTTGTCTCCATCTTGTCGCGCTCACTTCCTGTTTTCTTGGAGATCAAAGATGGGCGCGGAGGGACCGCCTCACATCCAGCTGACGCCAGCTCCAAGGAGGGGGGCTGTCTGCAGCCTGCCTGGCCTCCTCCTTGCCTACCTTTCCACAGCACGCTGGCCTCAGAGCTAGGTCACACAAGATAGAGGATGGCCACCCTTCCCCATCAAAGACAAAAGATCAGGGCAAGGGCGGTTGGCCTCTGTGGGCCCGAAGGCATTTCCTTTACGTTCTTTGAAAAAGGGTCTCTCTATGTAGTTCAGGCTGGCCTAAACTCACTGAGTGGCCCAGGCTGGACTTGAATCCACAGGGATCCTCCTGCCTCAGCCTCCAAGTGCTGGGATTACAGGCGTGCACTGCCATGCCTCAAAGTCCTTGTTCTGGCCCCATCCCAAGTGTGCCAGGGACTCGGCAGTGCCTGGGCAACATGGCAAAATGGCTCCAATCAGAGCCCTTGGAGCCAGGCCAACCTGGCTTCGACTCTCAGGCCCTATTTGCTACCTAAATTTGCTGAATGATTTCACCACACACCTTTGGCTTCTTGGTGAATAGAACCCACCCCGCATAGAATCTGCTGGGAAGCCCCCACGGGCACATGACAGTTCTTTTAATTACACTTATTTTTGCTAGCATGGTACCTTATTCTTGCAATTCCAACACTTGGGAGGCTGAGAAAGGAGTACTGCTTTGAGTTCAAGGCCTCAGGCGCAGGGACCAGAGGTTCGATCCCTGGCCTGCTGTGCCAGCCCCACCCCCAGGCACACTAAGATGGTAACTGAGACTGGGCGTGGTGGTGTGTGCCTGTAATCCCAGCTCTTGGGAGGCTGTAAATAGGTGGCTCACTACAAGTCTGATCTAGTAGTGAGACCCTGAGCACCCTACTGTAGACCCTTCCCTGAACAAAGAGTGCAAGGCCATCCTGGGCTACATTGTGAGTTCAAAGCCAGTCTAGAGTACACAGTGAGACTCTGTCTCAAAATACACAAACAAAAACTTGCACTGATTTTACTGGCTGCAGTCACTGTAGGAGCACTGGTGGTGTGAGGGGCGGGTGTGTAGCTGGGACCTGCAGCCCGCATGACAGTGTGTCCTGGCGGCAAGGTCTCTCGGGCCTCCCTCGCCCCAGCAGACTCCAAGCCTGTGCCCTCCTGCCATCTCATCTCCTTCTGATCCCCAAGCCCCCAACTCAGGTCTAAGCTCCTCCCTATAGATGGAGAGAGTGGTGGGATGTGACAAGGCTGCACAGTGCTGGGGACCAGGCTGGGCCTTGGTCTCCTCTCCCTACTCCACCTCTCTAGCCTATACATTAGCGCAGGGACTCCCTCCTCTCCTTCCCTGCCCCATCCCCAGACTTCCAGGAACCCCAGTTCCTCCTGGACCGCCGGGGCGCCTGGGGCCACCTCCTCCAAGCCGGCAGCCTGGCCATTATGTAATGATCAGATAACGGGCCAGGCTGCGAGATCAGATAAGAGGTCCATTTATTTTGGGGCCTTTTTGGATCCTGGCTGCCCCCACCCCGCAGACTAGAATGGGGAAACAGGAGGGAGGGTGACGCCGGAGCCGGTCTCCCGGAGCCTAGGCCGCCGAAAACAATCCCCTGGCACCAAGGGAAACTCCGAAGCCTCCTGGGATCCGACCGGGTCAGAGGCGGCACCACCCCCAGCCTGGGTGACTAGGCCTCCGGGTCAGTCAAGACCCGTGGGCCACCTCCCACCACTGTCCCCTCCTCACCTCTCACTCCCACCCAAGCATGCAACCGCTACCCAGGTTTTACAAACTGCTCTCAGAACCCATGGAAGGAAACAGTCAAGTAAAGTAGCCCTGGAAGGCAGGTGTGCAATGGGTAATCAATCCCAGCACTCTGGGAGGCTGAGGCAGGAGGGTCAAAGTTCCACACAGCCCGGGCAACTTATCGACTTAGTAAGATCCTGTATTAGAACAAATTATAGGGCTGGCTGTGGTGGTGTATACCTGTAGCCCCAGTACTCAGAAGGCTGAGGCAGGGGCACTGACATAAATTCGAGGCCAGCCTAGGTTACATAGTGAGCTCAAGGCCAGCCTGAGCTACATACGGAGACTGTCTCCAAAAAAATCCTTGAAAGTAAATAACATACAGTAAATTTTAAAAGGCTGATGATGTAGACCAGTGCAATGGCCCTGGGTTCAATCCTCAGGGCCAAAGGAAATAAAAACAAAAATAAAAAGACAAAGCACCTGGGAGCCAGGTGGCCCAGCACGTGTCAGCTCAGCCCTGTCCAGGACTGGTCGCCCAGAGCCACAGTCAACCTGTCCAAGGGCTCCCTGAGCATGCCAGGGACCACAGCAAGCCTGGCCCTCAGCCTCTTCCTCAACGGACCTCCAGTACTGAAGAGGCTTCCACCCCCCTTCCTGGGGGCGGGGGTCAGCCTCAAGGCCTCTCAGGGCTCCCCACCTCTCAGGGCTCCCACTCTTGCAGCTCCTGAGGGCAGGGACAGGTCCCAGGTGAGCAGGCAGGCAGAGTGAAGGTGCTCCTTCACCCTCCACCCAGGCAGCCCCGGGAGGGAGTAGGCCTGGGACCCATTTTACCTGGAACACCATGAAGGCTGGGAAGGTTGATGGGGTTACCCCAGGATGCCAGCTACCGAGCGGCAGGCCCTGGATTAGAACTCCGATGCTCCGGCTCTGGCACTGGAAGGCACTTTCCAGGTGTGTCCATCTGGGGCAGTGTGATGTGGAGGGACACCTGTGCTCCACACGAGCTGTGAATATTAACCACGGTACCAGGGCGGGGGGGGGGTTCTGTGTCACAGACTGAACCCAGGGCCTTCACACTGAGCTCCACCGGCCCATTTTTAATTTCGAGACAAGGTCCCACTTGGTCACTAAGATGCTCAGACAGCTTGAACTTGCAATCCTCCGGCCAGTCTCAGCCTCCCAGAGAGCTGGCAGTAGAGCCTGGCCTGGGCAGATCCTTTCCATCAAGGGCCTGCCTGCTGCCACGTGCCCCTGCTCCTCTGGCCGCCCTGCGCTCCTGTCCTCCCCAAGGGGGCCAGGGGCTCTCTTTCCCCTGGCTTCCCTAAACCCGCAGGACCACGTTCACACACTGCAGCCTACAGTGAAAAGTGCTAGCAAGCCGGGTGCGGTGGCCCACACCTATAATCCCAGTACTCAGGAGGCTGAGACAGGAAAATTGCAGATTCAAGCCCAGTCTGAGCAATTTTCCAAGATCTTATTTCCAAATACAATGAAAAAGGGAAGGGTATGACTCTGGTAGAACGCTTGCCTGGTGTACACAAGGCCCTGGTGCACACGCATGCACACAGGTACACACAACTACCAGTGGTTGCAGTTGTGCTTCTGCCACCTTCCAGCTTCCTTTCTGTGCCTCAGTCTTACTCTCTGTGAAATGGGACAATGATGATCCCAATACTTCCCTCCTGGAGTTGGTGATTCGTAAGGTGACACATGGAAGCGTAAGGCAACTCCCCATGAATGAGCCGCCATGACAACTACCAGTGCCCTCCCACCAGGAGATCTGGGCTTTCTCCCTTACACCTCGCTGCTTGCTTTTGCCACACCTTTTTTAGACTTGTGGTCATCCTTTATCCAACCAGGCCAACTTC